CATTTTAAAGAGGAATAGGATAGAAACAGAAGACCATCTAAAGGTAAGGTCAAGGGATGGTGATTATAATGAAGGATGATAGTGATTGTGACGGGAATGGTAATGATGATTGCTGATGTTACAAACTTCCCTCCCTCCCCCCCCCCTCTCCCCGCACCCACTTACCCACCTCTCTCTCTCTCCCGCAGTTCCTCGAGTACGCCAAGACGATCCACCCCATCGGGCGCGTGGGCGTGGTGGAGGACGTGAGTCGGGTGGTCGCCTTCCTCGCCTCCGACCACGCCGCCTTCATCACCGGGGCCGTCCTGCCCGTGGATGGGGGCGCCACGCTGGCTTGAGGGGGCGGGGAATGTCGGTGGGGTTGAGGGGAGGGGGGAGAGGGGGAGGGGAGATGAGGTGGAAGCGGGGGAGGGGGGGTTGGTGGAATGATATGGGGTGGAGGGGGCGGTTGTTGGGGATGGGGGTTTGGGGGGGAGGGGAAGGAGAGTTGAGTAAGATGGGGTGGGGGGTTAGGGAAACGGGGTTGAGGGGACGTGAAGGGGGTCGTTGGAGTAAGACGGTGTGAGGGAGTGGGGAGGGGAAGCCTTGTCCTTGGAGGGGGCGGGGAGGGGGGTTTTGGAAAGGGACGGTGTGACGGAGAAGACTGGTCCGTGGAAAGGGGAACCTGAGGGGGCGGGGAATTGAGGGTCTGATGAAGTGGAGAGGGGAATAAGGGATGGGGGGGGGGGGAACCTTCCTCCTTAAGCTGCGAGAAGGAGTTCTTGCCTGTGATTGTTTGAGGTGTCTCAAGCAGGGGTGTTAGAGGGGGTTGGGGTGGAGGGGGAGGAAGGAGGGAAGTGATGTGATGAGTGGCAAGGGTATAAAGGGAGGGAGAATGGGAGAGAATAGGGGGGTAAGAGGAAAGGACACGAAGGGAGGGAGGCGAAGTGAGGCCAGTAGAGAGGAAGCCAGGGTAAGATACCAAAGCATCTATCCAAACTGGCTGTGCTTCTCTTTGTGTAGAGGGCTGTCAGTAAAACATTAGTGTTATATACATGCCTGAAGGGCTGTGCTGTTATCATTGTATTAAATCCGGCTGTTAAACAAATCTTAAGACACAAATGCTGCCACCAATCGCTTGTCATGGTAATGAGTTCTTTATGTAAATGCCAAGCCTTCTCGTAGAGGAATAAGCAATATTTGGTCTGTCATAGTATGTGTATCCCGTAATTTTTGCATAACGAGCACTAGTTCTGACTTCCTAAAGTCAATATACAGTGAAGGTACTGTGAGAGAGTTGCCTTGCGTTTATGTTCCAGGTCATACATTTTGAGAGATTACTTGGAGACATTGATTATTTGACCATTTCTAAGGCCCACAACAGGGTGATGCTGCTGTTGATCGAGGAGGAACTTGAACATCCTTTCCTGAAGTTGAGATTGCTGAACCATTTGTTGTTGCGTCATGATCATCTGCTCCACCTGCCGAAGTAGCATTTGTGGCAGATCCTTTGTTTATTGCTTGGCATTGCTGCAGGAAGGGCTGAGCTGCAACTGATGCTGAAGCTGGTGCAGCATTTGGTTCTAGGGCTGGTACTGAAACTGTTGTTGGTGCTTGAGTTGTCGGAGCTTTAACTTCTATTGGTGCTGGTACTGTGGCCGGTGCCGTGGCTTCATTTGCAGGGATAATTAGCATTATGCTCTTATCGGCAGTTCACGCATTTCCGAGGGACATGTTTACCTTCGGAAGCTTTTTCTGCACATTCTGAACTTCCGTGTGGAAGAGCGCACTGCCGGCATCGCGGTGCGTCTCGTGGACAAGCACGTGTTTCGTGGTCCCACCTTGAACAATTAGAGCAAGACGGGGTCAGGGATTTGAAGACGGCACACCTAAAGGGTGCCATGCCCTCAACCATTTTAGATACTTTTGGGGATTACTTCCCCCTTATACGTCATGATGATTCTCTGGGTCATCATCCCAGTAACCTTCATCCGTCTCACATGAATGATACGTTCATTGTATGCAATCATTTCTCCTGTTTCGATTTCCCTTGGGACATCGAACACAATGACGCTCGCATATTTTCCCTTCCCCAAAACCTTTGCTTTTTCAAGCACTTCACCACCTGCACCGGTAGTTGGTATATGAGCAAGAATTTGTTTCTTGCATCTGACATATACGTTATTTCTCCAAATTTTCAGCTAGATTGATCCGCGTGTCTTGTTGTAAGGGTCCATTTTTAGGGGCTGAGAGACCCAGCGATACTTATCCCCATGTGTGCAAATCTTTGTATCGTTCTTAAAATGTGCGCACAGGTGTTCGGGAGGCGTAAGTTCCACAGAAGCAGATAGATGCCATTTTGTTTGTTTTTTTCTTCAGCCTCTCCTGGGCTCCACCAAGGGGAGAGAGAGGGGAGAAGTGAGGGTAGTAGAGAGGAAGGTGAGCACATTGGGATCACGTAGAAGGTATTCATATGTGAATGTAATCGCTTCCAAAAGTCGGGTGCATTTATTGAACCTAGTCCTTGACCACTGAATCTGAATTCCAAATATGTATAAGGTATTTGAATAAAATCCGTTACAGATTCACTGATTCGAGAGTAATGAAAAAGGGTTGTCAAGAAAGATTAAGACTTGAGAGTATGTCATTCACAAATTCCATACTGTGTATCAACATTTTTACATTGCTATGCTGTTGGTAATAAATAATAAAGAAACATAAAACAGAACTTTTACATCTCTAACCTAAAGATGAATAAATAATCCTTGTGAAAAATTCAGGATTTATGCATGAGTGACTATAATATATAAATAAACACGGAACATGAGGTTATTTTAACGTGAGTTTCATTTTCATATGAAAGCTGTAATGCCGTTCGAAAATGCGACAGAACACGAAATAAGGGGAAAAACGATAAAAGAGGAAAGAAAAAAGGGAGTCCTGAAGAGGGCTTAGAAAATGTGATAACGGAACAAAACAGAAGAGAATAAAACAGGTGGGTAAAGATAAATAGAGAAAAGGAAGAGAGGACACGTAAGAAATAAGCGGGAATAAAGGAGAAAATACAAGAATTGAAGAAATGAGGAGAGAAAATAAGTAAAGAAGTGGAGAAGCAAAGAGAAGAGGATAAAATATATTTATGGAATAGGATACAAGAGAGAAATCAAAAAGAAAGAACAGGGCACACAAAAGTAATGAAAAAAAAACGAGAAAAAAACAAATAACTAACGTATATGTGTATATAGATATATGAATAGATAGACATGCAGATAGATGGATGGATAGATAAATTCAGTGAAAAGACATGGTTTCTAAAATTTTCCTTGCTTTGAGGTGAGGAAACAGAAATGAGGTATACACTACGAATCAGTTTTATTTTCCGATTAGTTGCTTATCATAAACTCTTGTCTTGCTAATTTGGCTTAATCTTTTCCTTAAATTTTCAACATTCAAACAATGGAACAACAAGAAATCAACACAACAAGACCTTTTCCTTTCATTTCTTCCTTTTTTCTTCTTTTTTTCCTCCTTGCCTCCTTTCTTTTCTTTTTTCTTTAAATCTTCGGTATTTCGATTTCTTCATTTCCTTACATCCTCCTTCCATCCTTTATCACCCTCCCAATCCTTCCTATTCCCCTTATATTAATTTACATATTCCCTCCACCCCTTCATTCCCTCCTAATCCCTTCATACCTCCCCCTCTCCCCCCCCTCCCCTCCACCCTCTTCCCTCCACCGTACCCTCCACCAAATTTCACCCCAGCGTCACCACCAGGTCCTCCCCCAAAGGCACGGAGAGGAAAACCGATAGGACGTCGCCATTAAAAGCCCATTCGGAGGCAGGGAGGTCGGCACCATTGACTTGGACTCCTGCAGGATTCGAAGGATACCCGAAGAACTGGAGGGTCTCGAGCTTGAGTCCCTGGACGGGGTCTGGGCTGTGAGTCACTGTCATGGTGAGGACGTCCTGTAGAGTGGGGGAGGGTATTAGTGGTGGTCAGGGTGTTATTGTCACTGTCGTTATCAGCTTACTAAGTCGTGGGACTAGTACTGATAACACGGTAAATGGTATTATTGTTATTATTATTTTTGTTTACTTGCTGGAACCACTCCCCACAACCATTCCCCACCAACCAACCTCCGCGAAGACGACCGTCGCCAGGAAGGTCTCGTCCATTACGTGCTCGCCGTCGCCGTCGTCCCAGAACAGCTCGCCGCTCGCCCCGCCGCTCGCGTTCAGGGGGAGGGTGATGCCGAACGGGTTTTTACGACTGGGGGGGGGGGGAGAAAGGGAGAAAAGGGGGGTTTAGGAAATGGAAAAGAATTTGGTAATTTGATGCTAAATAGTTGGCCTTTTGAAGCATATATAGAGATATATAGATAGATAGATAAAGAGATATATAGATAGATCAAGATAAAAAGATACATAGATAAAAACAAAAATATATATAGATAGACAAATAAATACATAGATAAAAACAAAAATATAGATAGACAGACAAATAGATTTATAGATAGAAAGACAAAAAATATATAGGTATAGAGACATAGATGGATAGAAAGACATAAATAGAGAGACAAACAGATAGATAAAGAGACAAATAGGTAGATAGATCCGCCTCTCTCTCTCTCTCTCTCTTACCTCTGCACTGTATTAAGTCCAGGGACCTGATAGGGGAGCGCCACGCCCCCTCTCGCATACACCGGAATCCTCTCTAACGGCGCCTCCACGTACTTCGAGTGGGCGGCTCCTGAGGCCTCTCGCACGCCCGTCAGCAGGTCGTACCATTCGCCCTGGTAGTGTGTGGGGGGAGAGGGGAGGGGATGATTTTACTGTTATGAGGATCACAGTGATAAAAGTAGCGGTAAAAATGGTAGTAGTAATAATAATAATACCAGTTTGTAGTAGTAGTAGTAATAGTCCTAGTATCAGCAGCAGCAGTAGTAGCAGTAGTGGTTGCAGTAGTATCATTATCATTATCTTTCTTCCATAAAGCCACATCACTGCTACATCTCATGTATAACCATCGGCGTAGGGGCATTTAAAATTTAGGGGGGGCTGCAAATTTTCTGCCCGAGTGAAAGAGGAAGAGAAATTTCACCTGCCAGAAAAACCCACTTATAAGGCTAAACTGCCATTTTGTCGGAAAATTTCTGCACTTGTCGGAAAAATAACGATGGTTTTCTGTTTCGTTTAGTTCTAGTGGCCTTATATTATGTTCAAAATAATCAAAAATGAGAATTGGTGTCAAATTTTTGTCGGGATATCTTCATTTCTCGCCCCCTCTATGAATTTTCCTATCTACGCCCCTGCCCAAAATTGCCCGAATTCAACCAGCATTTACCCGACTGGGGGGGCTGCAGCCCCCCAGCCCCCCTGGCTCCTACGCCAATGTGTATAACCATACCACACAAACACATAGCACCATTCAATCACACCAAACCAAAGACCATATACCATACAGTCACGCCACAGTAAACCACAACCATGCATACTACACCACACGATTAAATCAAACCACAGAACCATGCACATCTAAATTAACGGTCACACTAATCTTCTCTGTCCGGGGATCCCCTGACAGAAGCCCGAGTGTCTGGCAGCTACAGAGCGGGATTGGTCACACTATGCACAGCCTTACCAGCCTTACGATTATACCCGTGCAGAGAAAAGTTTTTTGTTGTTGTTGATTTCATCCATTTATGTTATTTTTAACTTTCAACAATCATAACAGTTGTAGATTGTATTCCGTAAATGTTCTCTGCCTCTTGTTATGTCCAGTAAGTCGTAAATTTTGTCTGAAGTGATCTTCATGTCTTCAGCTGTGAAGTGGGTGTGTTTTGCATTCCACGATCAAAAGAACGTTTGTCTGGATCAATTAAGGAATCATTGCTAGTTGTAATATATATTGAATACCTTAACATTATATACTAATTGCCGTTTAGGCAATCATGTTATAAGGTTCCTAGTAATTGTACTACAGTTTTTGTTTGGCATCATCTTTCCCTCTCTAGGTAGGGCAAAGGCCATCAAAGTTGTCCTCGCTCGGTTCCACCTTAGGCAGGATTTTTCGTATCGATTCCCTTCACAGCTGGAAAAGTATCCCACTCTGGAAATGGATCCCTGGATAGAACAGACTAATGTGACCGCCCTTATACCAAACAACCCTGCCTACAGCGAACCGCGCAACTTCGCACGTCATATCATACAGCCATACTAAACAGCCACTACAAACCACAGACCTACACATACCATACCACGCAACCATCCCGTACAACCACCCACCTCTGGGAAGAAGACCTCCCTCCCCGTGGCCCCCTGGGTAACGACGGGGGCCACCATGATGCCGTCTCCCCACAGGAACTGGTCGTCCACGTCGAGGGCAGTCAGGTCGTTCGGGCTCAGCGAGAACACAGGTCGTACCACTGATTCGCCGTGCATGTGTGCCTAAGGGTGGAGATGTCTCATGTAATAAGTGGTCTTTGTGGTTGGTGATAATGTCTGGTAGTGATTCTCATGGTTGGTTGTGATGTTTGGTAGTGGCGTGGGTTGGTTGTGGTACTGACGTGATACGGGTATTGGTTTTAGCGGTAATGGTAATTGGTATCTCTGGCTTACTGTATATGGTACCTGGATATGGCCATACAGAAATAAATAGTTATGGTTAGATATTTGTGGATATTGGCATTACTAAAGATATTGTTGGTAATGATGTTTAGAATGATATCGCACAAATTATTTTGGTGGTTCATTTCCAATTGCAGTGAATATTGCAATTTTATGTGTGTTGCAGTATGTATATATGTGCCTTACATTTAGTATTGTTCACTGAGTAATCTTGCATTTAAGTTTGAGTGAGGTACGCCTTAATGCATGGAACAATGAAATGATCATACAGATTGTAACCCTGACATTATGTTGTTGTGCTTATGATTATCAATTCTAATGATGACAATTTGAAGATTGCAGTATCCTAATTTTAGTACCAACCTTACACCCACTTGACTAAATGTCGGAACATATCGGAAAACAACTAACTTAGCTAGTAGCACTAACCGATTGCAGTATACAGTATAATTTGTTATTCCTTGTTCAAGACAGAAAAGGAAGAACTAAATACGTATTTACACTGATTTGAAGACATTAGTATTGGATTAGAATATATGATCCGAAGAATAAGGTCAAGGTGGATTTAGGATATTTGTGAGCCATTAGGTCACATAAGCACCCAGCCACCAGACGCAGGAGTTTCCTCGGAAGACCTTAATTATCCGTTCTGGTGATGAGGTGACGGTGAAAAATGTGTAAAGGCTGAAAAGCTAATTTATTTTGTTGTTCTGCAGAGAAATCTGACTCGACTTGAGCCGAGGAAAGATGGGAAAGTAGGGAAAGATGCAATCCTCTCTGCCCATGCCAGCTACGGCACTATTTTTAACTCCCAAGTGGAACTACATCAACATTCAAGTGTCACCTTGTGAATATCCGGGAATGCTTTTTTTATATATGCTATATAGACTTAATTCTCATAACTCAACTATTGTTAACATTTACGGCTGTATTCACAGTCAGTGCGCCTCTGGTAAGATGGAATGCCAAACGTCATTTACAACGTTTGTATTCACAGCCGCTCTCAAGACCTTTGATCGAAGGGGAAAGTTCATGGTTACGAACATGAGCAACGTATATATTTAATTGTAATTAAATCAGCTAGGATCGTAGATTCCTTATTATCAGACTCATGATGGCTCTCCTACCTGGGTGTTTTCACTCATCTAGCCTTAATCTAATTGAATGCTGCCGGTATATATATAGTATATATATATGTGTGTGTGTGGCAGAAAAACCCACAATGTACAAACTAGATTTATTAAAAACGAGACAACAGAAAGATTTCGAAACTCGTTTTTAATAAATCTAGTTTGTGCATTGTGTTTTTTTTCTACCGTAGCATCAACACGGTAGAGTGCTTTACCATTCTATATATATATATATATATATATATATATATATATATATATATATATATATATATATATATATATACACACACACACACACACACACACACACACACATATATATATATATATATATATATATATATATATATATATATATATATATATATATATATATATATATATATATATATATATATATATATATTATATATATATATATATATATATATATATATATATATATATATATATATATATATATATATATATATATATACATATATATGTATGTATATACTGGACATGCATATATATGAGCAAAATAAATATTCTTCATAATTATGTACGTGTTGGAATGAGAGTCAACAATATATGATAAGTATTGTTATTTCTGAAATCACACCGATGTTGCTGACATTGCACAACAAGAAATTTCAACACAATACAGAAAACCCACTATAGATATTGATCATGGCAAAGATTTATTATACATATCAACGAATTCAGTCACAGGCCTATCAGCACCATCAGCTAAGCACGTTGCAATCTAAGTTATTCTTGCAATTATACAGATGCCCGCTGGATGTGCAATAACTCGCTGCGTATGGGATTATGCTGAATAAAAGATAACTAAACAAAAAAAATAGACGAAAGACAGGCAATACTAACCTAGCATAAACCTCCCTAAAATAAATGAATATATAAACGAAATCAAATAATAAGTAAGTGAATTAATTATTACTAATGATCGAAAAATAATGGTATGATCGAAACAAATAGTAACATTAATGTAAGGATAATAATAGTAATAATAAATGTTGATAATAGTAATAGCAATAACAACAACAAAAAAGATAATGACAATAGTAATTATATGGTAATAATAGTAACAATAATATTATTATTATTAATAATAGTAATAATAATAATAATTATTATTATTATTATTATTATAGTAATAATAATAATAATAATAATAATAATAATAATAAAACAATAATAAAAAACAATAATAAAAAAATATATATAAATAATCAAAATCATAAAAAAACACAAACACATACACATAACCCCTTTCCCCCCTAACCCCCTCCCCCCTTCCCCCTTCCCTCTCCCTCCCCCCCTGGCACTCACCCTATGGAAGAGGGCGTACAGATAAGGGAGATACTGATACCGGAGCAACAGGATCTCCCGCGATATCTCGGCGACTTCCGGCCAAACAGCTGGGTCCTGGTCAGCGGTGTCGATGGTGTTGTGGTTGCGGCTGGCGAGGGGAGATTGAGGGGAGTGTGAGGGTGATGGGGAATTGGGAGGGAGATTGAGAGGGGTGTGAGGGTGAGGGAGATGGGGAGATTGAGAGGAGTGTGAGGGTGATGGGGAATTGGGAGGGGAGATTAAGGGGAGTGTGAGGGTGATGGGGAAGCGGGAGGGGAGTGTGAGGGTGATGGGGAAATGGAGTGGAGTGTGAGGGTGATGGGGAAACGGAAGGGGAGATTGAGGGGAGTGTGAGGGTGATGGGGAAACGGGAGGGGAGTGTGAGGGTGATGGGGAGGGGAAACGGAAGGGGAGATTGAGGGAGTGTGAGGGTGATGGGGAAGCGGGAGGGGAGTGTGAGGGTGATGGGGAAATGGAGGGGGAGATTGGAGGGAGTGTGAGGGTGATGGGGAAACGGGAGTGGAGTGGTGAGGGTGATGGGGAAAATGGAGGGGGAGTGTGAGGGTGATGGGGAAAACGGAGGGGAGTGTGAGGGTGATGGGGAAAATGGAGTGGAGTGTGAGGGTGATGGGGAAATGGAGTGGAGTGTGAGGGGTGATGGGGAAACGGAGGGGAGATTGAGGGGAGTGTGCGGGTGATGGGGAATTGGGAGGGGAGATTGAGGGGAGGTGTGAGGGTGAGAAGGAGATGGGGAAAATGGAGGGGTGTGAGGGAGATGGGGGAAACGGGAGGGGAGTGGTGAGGGTGATGGGGAAACGGGAGAGAAGTGAGAGTAGGTATGAGGGGGCGAGGGGAGTGTGATTATGAGAGTGAGGGTAAATATGAGGGATGTATGGGTGAGTATGGGTGAATATGAGAATGAGGATAAATACGAGGAAATTAGGTAAAGTAAGAGGGGGGGGGGGGGCATAGGTAACGTGAAGGGAAGATAAGGGAGGAAAACGTGAGGCAAGTGAGGGTAAGTATGAGCTGGATGAGGGGAGAGCGAAGGTGAATATGAGAGTAAGGGGAAACGTGAGGCGAGTGAGGGTAAATAAGAAGACTGAGAGTAAGTATGAGTGAGAATAAAAGGAATGTAAAGGTAGATGTAAGAAGAGAGAGAATAAGTATGAGGGAATGAGGAGAATATGAGGATAAATATGCAGAATGGAAGAGGGGAACGTCAGGATAGAAATAAGGAGGTGAAGGGAATAAATGAGAAGAAAGAATTTAGAAGAAAGATTGGGGAAAGAGAACATAAGGGGGAAACGAGAGAAAACCAAAGTGATATTTAAAAATAATAATAATAATCAGAGAAATAATACATAATTAGAAGAAATGTAATGAAAAGCCGGAAGAGAAGATTTTTCACACAAACATGAAGAAAAAGAAAAAGACAATAATAGTAATCAGTAAAAATACATATAATTAAATAAATAAAAGAATCTAGAGGGATAACAAAGGCAAACACGAAAATACAAACACCGAAAAAATACCAATATTTATCTTTGAGCTATTAATAAAGATACCGAAATATGTTCTTACCCAAAGGTGAAAATAAATGATAAAAAAGAAAAATACTTCGATATTTTAAAAACACAAATAAAATCTTCCCGCGCCTAAAAGGATAAAACGCAGAAACAAACAAAAGAATAATAACCACAAATTCCTTTAAACATCCATCAAAAGATACTACAAACTTAAGAAAATATCAAAACAAAATACAATGAGATACAACGAAACAAAAAGACAACAAAACAAAATACAACATTAGGATACAAGACAAAATGGAACAAAACAATAAAACAAAACAAATTACAAAAAAATACAACAACAACAAAAAGCAAAATACAGCAATAAGATAAAACAAGACAAAATACAACAACAAAATACAACACCAACATCCATCAAAAAAATACAAACGAACCCAAAATTAAACCTAGAAATCCGGCCGCCAAGCGACTCCTCACCTGAAGGGGTAGAAGGCCCCTAGCTGCATCCACCTCGCGCACATCTCCATGTCAGGCTCACCGAAGAAACCACAGATATCTGCGCCCACCATTGGCACGCCGAAGAGGTTAAATTCGAGCATTCCTGGCGAGGAGGAGGAAAAAGATGGGCGTAAGTTCTTTTGTGATTGATATATGGATGTGTTCTTGGTATGTGATATGTATATCTATGTGTATTTGCGTATGTATGGGCAGGTATATAGGCGTGGAAAGGCGTTAGTCTTTTGTTTGGCGTTCTCAGTAGGTTGGCCTTGTATTTCTTTCCATGTGTGGGTTAAGATGCGCGCGCGCACATACACACACACACACACACACACACACACACACACACACACACACACACACACACACACACACACACACACACACACACACACACACACACACACACAAAACACAAGCCCTCACAAGCCCCCATCTTACCTATGATCGACATGTGCATATGACTCCAAGTCGCAGAGTTGTCGCCCAGCCAGTGAACCGCGTACTGGCCTGAACCGGGAAAAGTGGACCGGGAAAGAACCACTTGCCTCTTGCCGGGGAAGATTTGCTGCAGACCCCTGATGGGGGGGGGGGGGGGGTAAGAGGATGAAGGCAATGAGCAGATGAGAGGATGGAAAGGAGGAGGAGGAGGAGGAGGAGGAGGAGGAGGAGGAGGAGGAAGTGATGGTGGTGGTGGAGAATGAGGAGGACAAGGAGGAGGAGGGGAAGGAAGAGGAGGAAGAGCAGGGAGAGAATGAGGGAAGGGAGGAGAAAGAGGTTGGAGGAAGAGGAAGAGGAGGAGGAGGAGGAGAAGGAGGGTGAGAAGAGGGAGAAGGAGGAGGAGGAGGAGGAGGAGGAGGAGGAGGAAGAAGAAGAAGAAGAGGAGGAGGAGAAGGAAGGGGAGGAGGAAAAGGAAAGGAAGAGGAAGAGAAAGAGGAGAAGGAGGAGAACAGGAGAAGGAGAAAGAAGAGGAGGGGGAGGAAGAAGAAGGTAAGAGAATAAACGGGTTGAAAAATAGAATGGGAAAAATATTAGACGAGCAGGATAGGTAGGGATTAACAAAGGTAGTATAGAAAGAAGCAAAGCAAGAATAGATGAAAAAAAGGAAAAAAGAAATAACAGAAAATAAATATAAATATATCACATTGCAAGTCCTAAACCTAATCCTACATTTTCCCTTCATCATCGACGAACACACACAGCTTACACCATCACATACTTAAAAAAAAAAAAAAAAAAAAAAAAAAAACTCAACATTACCCAAAAAATCACAAAAAAAACACAAAAAAACTAAAAAATAAAAAAATAAAAAAACAATCTCTTACTTATACGTCGCAACCGTCTCCGACCAGCCATAGAGAGAGTGAACGTCGTAGTGAAGGAAAGTCCGGTTGCCGTCTGTCTGGTGACCGGACATGCAGATGGTGTGGTCGCTTGAGAGGACGAGCAAAGTGAGATTTAGTTTTGGTTATTATCATTATAGGTTTTGTTTTATTATTATTATTATTATTATTATTATTATTATTATTAT